AAATTTTTTTAAAAACAGGTGGTACTCAATTCTTCCCTGATAAATTTAATTTTAAAACGATGTAAAACTTAAATTAAACTTGCAATTTACTAAAATTTGTTGTAAATCTTATTTTCCCCCAATTCTAATGAAAATTCCCCTTTTAAAATAATTATTGTAAACTAAAAATTCCAAATTAAATTAAAAATTTAAAATTAATTTAGGAACCAAATTTTACAAATTTTTCCATTCAAATTGAATTACAAAAACCGGTTTAAAATTTTTCCATAAAAATTGGGTAAATCCAAAAAAACCGTTTAAACCCATAAAATAATAAAAATTTAATTTTTGAAACCCAAAATACAGGGCAAATGGTTGTACCGGGGGTTCCAGGGGTAAACCCCCCGGGGCCGGCTGTTAAAGGCTCTGGTACGGGGCCTATTAACCAGGCCGCTGGTCAGGATCCATGTGGCCCAGTGTCCGTTTTGGGGGCCGGGGGATTGGTACCCCTTATGTATGTGGGGGAGGGAACAGCCTTGGGACCCTGGACACTTATTGTGTTTCTCTTAATGTGCTAGTGACACTCCTGCTTTTCATTGGGGGGATGTTGCATCATCTGCCAAGTCTTTTGCTTTCGAGGTGAGTGATTTTTTGTGTGCATTTTTGGTACTGTCCCTCTAGGATTTTCCAGGTGTATATAATCATGTATCTCTCCTGCCTGCATTCCAGGGAGTACCGGTTCAGGAACTTCAAGCGCTCCCAGTAATTGAGGCGTTTTATCTCCGTTATGCGTGCCATGAATTCTCTGTATATTTTCTAGGTCAGCAATTTTACCTGCCTTGAAAGGTGCTGTTAGTGTGCAGGAATATTCCAGCATAGATAGAACAAGCGACCTGAAGAGTGTCATTATGGGCTTGGCATCCCTAGTTTTGAAGGTTCTCATTATCCATCCTGTCATTTTTCTAGCCGATGCGATTGATAGAACGTTATGGTCCTTGAAGGCGAGATCGTCTGACATGATCACTCTCAGGTCTTTGACGTTAGTTTCTCGCTGTATTTTGTGGCTGGAATTTGTTTTATACTCTGATGAAGTTTTAATTTCCTCATGTTTACCATATCGGAGTAATTGAAATTTCTCATCGTTGAACTTCATGTTGTTTTCCGCAGCCCACTGAAAGATTTGGTTGTCTGCCTGGAGCCTTGCAGTGCCTGGAATGGAAGACAGTCATGCATATTTGGGTGTCATCTGCAAAGGAAGACACCGTGCTGTGGATGACATCCTTGTCTATGTCAGATATGAGGATGAGAAACAAGATGGGAGCAAGTACTGTGCCTTGCAGAACAGAGCTTTTCACAGTAGCCGCCTCAGACTTTACTCTGTTGACTGCTACTCTTTGTGTTCTGTTTGTGAAGAAATTATAGATCCATCTACCAACTTTTCCAGTTATTCCTTTAGCACGCATTTTGTGCACTATTACGCCATGGTCACACTTGTTGAAGGCTTTTGCGAAGTCTGTGTATATTACATCTGCATTCTTTTTGTCTTCTAGATTATCTAGGACCTTGTCGTAGAGATCCAGTAGTTGGGACAGGCAGGAGCGACCTGCTCTAAATCCATGTTGCCCTGGGTAGTGTAACTGATGGGTATCTAGATGGGTGGCGCTCTTGCTTCTTAGGACCCTTTTAAAGATTTTTATGATATGGGATGTTAGTGCTATAGTTTTACATACAGAAAATGAGAAATAAATATAAATGGCTTACTTTAATGATAAATAAACATCTCATACCTTTATTGAAGACTTGTTGTTGAGTAGTATTTATTTGTAGTCCAAAAGGGACTACATCCCAGGCATATACGTACTGCCTACATACACTGCGGCCTACAGCCATATTATCAACATACCATGTTCACCGAGTTTAATCTTTTCTAACAATTACCTTTAAATGCCATCACAAACAAAGGGAGAAGTAATGAATAATTCATGCTGAGAATTGTAAACAAAAGCCTTATGTACTATTAAGGGCTACCTGGAGGGCATTCCGGGGATCAACTCCCCCGCGGCCCAGTCTACGACCAGGCCTCCCGATGGATCAGGGCCTGATCAACGAAGCTGTTACTGCTGGCCACACAATCCAACGTACGAACCACAGCCCGGCTGATCCGGCACTGACTTGAGGTATCTGTCTAGCTCTCTCTTGAAGACAGCCAGGGATTTATTGGTAATTCCCCTTATGCTTGGTGGGAGGCTGTTGAACAGTTTTGGGCCCTGGACACTTATGGTGTTTTCTTAGTGTACCAATGCCGCCCCTACTTTTAACTGGGGGTATTTTGCATCGCTTGCCCAGTCTTTTACTTTTGCAGGGAGTGATTTGTGTGTGCACATTCGGGACCATTCCTTCCAGGATTTTTCAGGTGTAGATTATGATGTATCTCTCTCTCCTGCATTCCAACGAGTACAAGTCCAGTGCTTCCAAGCATTCCCAGTAGTTAAGGTGCTGGAGGGTAGAGTTCTTAACCCTTAAACTGTCCAAACGTAGATCTACGTTCACTCGCGTAGCGCTCCAAACACAGATCTACTTTTTTTTTACATTATCTCTTGTGGAGAAAATCAAGGTCGGAGCATACGTGTGCAAAAGTAGATCTACGTTTGGACAGTTTAAGGGTTAAACAAATAAAAATGCATAATTTATGGCAGCTTTTACTGCAGGCCACAAATACACTCAGTAGTTAAGATAAATTTGGTACTGTAAATGAATAATGAATAAAGGGCCAAAGTTACCATATGTAACATATTTCTTAACCCTAAGTGCTTATTAAATGAATATGCTACGCACACAGCAGGGAAAAATTAATTACCGGTACCTTATAAAATAATTGTGGACGCACAAAAAAAAAAAAAAAAAAAAAAAAAAAAAAAAAAAAAAAAAAAAAAAAAAAAAAAAAAAAAAAACTGTACAGTTTGGAGCTAATGTTGCAATTATTTATTTTAGTGCCTATTTGAATTTGCTAAAGGAAGAAAGAGAAGATCTAGTTCTTGGTCCTGCCTTTTTACCTTCTACTAACTGTTGTGAAACAACTTTGAACCTCGACATGGAGTCTGCTTCTAATGTGCCAATGTCCAGTTCATTCCACTTTACCTGGTAAACTGGAGTGCTACATTTAGTTAAGTAAATAGACAGATGCAAATAATGTGACATCTATGTCCATTTATCTAACATTTTGTTGGTAATTCTACCATTATTATTAATTTTACTGCTGAGTTATATGCTGTAGTCAATTTATAACTTTTGTGTGCCAGTCATAATTATATACCCCATAGCAGAAAAGACTTGTCAGATTACCTGGTTATAAAAATATATTAACCCTTTCACTGTCTCATGTAGATCTACGTTACTGATGTCAATGTCATTCATGCATATCTGTGTTTTAAGCACAGCACCCTTATATGTTGTGAGTGGGAAATTTTGGCCGAGACACAAGAGAATGGGTTTGTGTAGCAAGTGTGCACAATATATATAAAAAAAAATCCTACCCCATGCAGTGCATAACAGGAAAAGCAAACCTCTGATATCATTTGGTTTAAAATAGCGACTGAGGTGTTTTCTAGGATGGGTTTAATGGTTTTATTGGCTGTTTCTTGGGATTGATTGATAAGAGCTCTGAAGGTGTACCACTGAAATAGATATGATTTTGGTCTGGTTTAAGACCAAAGAGAGCTTGAAATAGGCCTCAAAATAGCAAAAGTATTAAATTTTTGAAGGAAGGATACGGCCCCCTACTATCCTTGTTTCTGTTTTACAGGCTTTTACTAGGTCTGCTTTAATTATCAGGATGCTCTATACCATGACTAATCATTCTTGGTTATATTTTATCTGAGAAATAAGGCAAAAGTCTGCTCTGTTTTTAGGCAGTGATGGATTCAAAATGGAGGGCAAATAAAATATAGCAAGAGGCCTGTGAATATGATTAATGAACAGAGGATAGGTTATTTTAGTGGTCGGAAAGCACAGTGTTCATTTTGGATTCTGTTTTTAAATTAAAATTTGTCGAATTTTGTGTAAAACTGGCCAAATTACCAGACTTCTGTGCATTTTATAATAAGGTAGTTCTGATAATTGATTGGGCAGTTTCTTCTGCTCAATCAATAAAACAAAGTACGTATACTATCAAAATAGCTAGAAATTGGGTCAATTTAGCAATGGAATTTGCTTAAAACAGAACTCAAAAAGGGCAAAATCACCTATGTGTAAACTGCACCCAAGACTGCCACCTTTGTATTTGTGTAATTCCAATCAAACCATAAAAATTACACTAGAAAACACCTCAAAGTCACTATTTTTAAACCAAACACGAGGTCAGGTGCTTGCTTTTCTTGTCTGTGCATACCCACTGCACAGATCCATTTTCTCTTTTCTCTTGTCTAGGCCAAAATTTACTGCTCATGGCAAATTTAAAGGGGCTATGCTTAAAAATGTAGAGCTACATCAGTGACACTGGCATCAATAATGTAGATCTCTGTGGGAGATAGTGAAAGGGTCAAGTTAAAATTGTAATAAATTACCTGACAAAAATTTTAAATTCCTTGATAAAAAGGATCTAGTAAATAGCCACATCCTGACCAATAAGTATTAAACATTTGCACCAAACTTCTATATGCTGTATAATTTTATAAAGCAATGAAAATATGAATTTCAAGAACATGCTTTTCACTAGACAATCATGTCAACATATCGCTTCATTCTGCAGAAAATGTGAAAGATAATACGATTTAATAAATTAATTAATCAAAATTGTTATGGCAATTTCACTTATTTATGCTGATTTCTAATAACTGAGACTACAAAACAGATCCTTCATGGGACTCTTGTTCAAGCGGATTAGAAATGCATTTTAACCACAGAATTAATGGGGTATAAAAGTACAAATTCTTTTAGGTATGGAGTACATTTAAATTACAAAAGCTTTGTACATGTAACTCAGAATTTAGGGTCAATATTTATGACTATTAAAAAATCAGTCAGTACATAGACCTTTTATTACTTAAATTTGATTTACAAATTAGATTTTTACTATGCTGTTTCTAGGCAAGATATATGCTTCTTTTTACCTCATGGAAAAGGTGCCCTAGTCACTTGTCACCCCACCCCCAGTCGCACCTCCAGGACCAGGACCTGTGAAGATGAGTGTTTCACCAAAGTTAAATGGATATTTTTATATAAACTTAAGCAAGCAATGTTTCAGAAAAGGGGAGTGATTATTAAATAACAAAGGAATTAACTTATACATATTACATATAAATCTATTAGACAAGTTAAAATAAATTAAAAACTTGTGAAATGACCATGAAATAAGAAAATTATTTCACAATGCAAATACAATATACTTCAAATCACAAAGTCACTGAAGTACACATAAGTACAAATTCATGCTTGTGGAGTCTAAGGAATAGCCAGTGGGAAGGGATGTTCAGGAATTTTAAAAATCTATGAATTGACAGGGACAAAAGACATTCCCTGGGAAAGTCCTGAACACTCTGACCTTAATCCAAACTAATGCAAACAAAAAACTGAACACAGATACATGAAAGATCCAAAAATAATTTGGTGGTAGTAGTAGTAGTAGTAGTAGTACAGTAGTAGTATAGTATCAGTGGCAGTACAGTAGAAGAGTAGCAATAATGTCAGTAGGAGTAAACTAGCAATATTAGCAGCAGCTGCAGTAATGTAGTACAGTAACAGAAAAGCAGTAATATAACAGCAGTATAGTATAACACCAGTTTAGTGGTATAGTATAACAGTAATAAAGTGTTAGTAGCAGTAATAGTATAGTACAGGTTCGCCATCACTAATCCGGTAATCAATTATCCGGCACTAATTTCGGTTAGCATAATTTAAAATTTCATCATTATACTGACTCAAATTTCTTCATTATATTGGCTCATAAATTGTGCAGATGGCCGTAAATCCACAGCAGCAAGCCAGTGGAGGAGAAAGCAGTGATGAAAATGAGAAAGATGTAGCAGAAAGAGCCTCTATTGATAGGTTAAGTGCATTCTAACTTAACCATTCTGTAATCCGGTAAACTCACTAATCCGGCACTACAGGTCCCAATGATGCTGGATTAGTGATGGTCAACCTGTAGTAGTAAAGTAGCATTATAGTATTAGTAAAGTAGTAGCAGCAGCAGGCACAAGTAGCATAGTAGCAGTAGTAGTAGTACAGCAGTACAGTGGACCCTTGGTTTTCGTGTTTAATCCGTTCCAGAGCCATGGGCCAAAACCAAAACCATTTTCCCCATAAGAAATCATGTAAATGGAATTAATCCGTTCCAGACACCCAGAAGTATCAAAAAAAAAAAAAAAAAAAAAAAAAAAAAAAAAAAAAAAAAAAAAAAAAAAAAAAAAAAAAAAAACTTAAATATACATTTACATGCACACAAGAATGAACATTAAACACGACGCTTACCGTTTTTGAAGGCTGTTGTTGCTGGAAGGCAGGCAGGGAGGAAGGGAGGGAAGATAGGTTATTGTTTGGAAGGGTAAGCCCCCTCCTTAAAGGACTCTAGATACCAAGTCCTTATCTGGGGTCACTTCCCTCCTTTGTTTTTTACTGTCACTAGGACCAGCTTGAGTCACTAGACCCCTGTTGCACAAAATATCTGTCCAGATAGGTCTGTCTCTGGAGTCTCTAAGATTTGCCTAAAATGGGACATGGCATTGTCACCAGCATGGACTGCAACAGCTTTCTCAGGGTGATGTTGCTCCATAAATGAATACACTTTAGTCCACATTGCACAAATCTCCTTAATCTTTGAAGAAGGTACCTTTTTCCATCTCTCTTCCTCCTCCTCTGAAGCAATTTCCTCAACTGTGGGCTGTTGCTGTTGCAGATGAAGCTCTTGCAGCTCATCAGTGGTTAGCTCTTCATGGTGGTCCTCCACCAACTCTTCCACATCCTCCAAACTCACATCCAACCCCATGGAATTCCCCAATGCCACAATTGATTGCACAACAGGTGTAGGGTTGACAGGGTCAGCCTCAAATCTTTCAAAATTCTCCTTTTGGACACAATCTGGCCACAGTTTTATCCAAGTAGAGTTCATCGTCCTGGAAGTCACTCCCTGCCAAGCCTTAACTATAAGGCCTATGCAGTGGAAGATATTGAAGTGATTCTTCCAGAACTCTCTTAGGGTCAATTCAGAGTCTGAGGTTATGTCAAAGCACCTTTGAAACATTGCTCTGGTGTAGTTTTTTTGAAGTTTGCAATGATCTGCTGGTCTATGAGCTGGAGGAGAGGAGTGAGGTTAGGAGGCAAAAACTTCACTGTTACAAAACTAAATTCCTTAGACAATTGGTTTTCCAAGTCTGGAGGATGAGCAGGAGCACTGTCCATTAACAGGAGGCACTGGAGTGGCAATTTCTTATCCAGGAGGTATTTTTTCACACTGGGGCCAAACATTTCATTAAACCATTCCAGAAAATTTCCCGTGACCCATGTCCTACTGTTTGCCTTCCACATCACACACAATTTACACTTAACAACACCGTTTTTCTTGAACATTCTGGGATTTTCAGAGTAATACATCAGTAAAGGCTTCACTTTGAAATCCCCACTAGCTTACCACACAAGAGTGTTAGCCTGTCTTTCATAGGCTTGTGTCCTGGGAATGCCTTTTCCTCCTGTGTGATGTAGGTCCTCTTTGGTATTTTCTTCCAAAAGAGGCTTGTTTCATCACAATTGAACACTTGTTGGGGTCGGAATTTTTGAGACTACCTAACATTTAAATTCCCCAACAAATTTTTCTGCTGCTTGTTTGTCTGAACTGGTATCCTCACCGTGCCTTACAACACTGCATGCCACTTCGCTACTTGAAATTTTCAAACCAGCCTTTGCTGGCCTTGAATTCACTGTCATCACCACTTGTTTCAGGCAGTTTCTTTATGAGATCCTCATGCAACTGCCTTGCCTTTTCACAAATAATGGACTGCACAACACTATCTCCTGTTAACTCTTTCTCTCTGATCCACACCAACAACAATTTCTCCACTTCAATTGTTTGGGATCTCTGTTTGGTTATTGCATTCACCCCTTTTGCAACATCAGCTTCCATGATTTCTTTTCTCTTTGCCACAGTGGAGCTGGTTGTTGGTGGTGACTTCCCGTACATCCTGCCAAGTTCAGCGATGCTTATGCCATTATCATATTTTCTTAGGAATTCTTTTTTCAGTTCTATGGTGTTCCTCACTTTCTTTACCAAAGCACTGGCACTAGCTTTCTTTGGGGCCATGGTCACTTATTTAGCAGTCACACATGATAAACAAGTGGCAAAAACAATGATTATGAAATGTTTCATATGACCTGGCAGGATATGTTCACTGACCGAGAAACAATGCTACATTGGTTGAAAATGCGTGCGGAAGGCAGCTTTATCTGCATGCTGGGGACTGGACAGGTTCCGTATGATCGACAAAAGCCAAAAATCGACGAAAACCGAGGGTCCACCGTAGCAGTATAGTAGTAGTAATATAGAAGCAGTAGCACAGTAGTATAGTAGCAGTAGTAGTATAGTAGTAGTACAGTAATAGTAGTAGTATAGTAATAGTAGTAGTATAGTAGTATATTAGTAGTATAATAGTAGTAGTAGTAGTAGTAGTATAGTAGTAGTAGTAGTAGTATAGTAGTAGTAGTAGTATAATAGTATAGTAGTAGTATAGAAGTAGTAGTAGTATAGAAGTAGTAGTAGTATATAGTAGTAGTAGTATAGTAGTAGTATAGAAGCATAGTAGTAGTAATATAGCAGTACAGCAGTAGTATATAGTAGTAGTAGTATAGTAGTAGTATAGAAGCATAGTAGTAGTAATATAGCAGTACAGCAGTAGTATATAGTAGTAGTAGTATAGTAGTAGTATAGAAGCATAGTAGTAGTAATATAGCAGTACAGCAGTAGTACAGAAGCAGCAGTAGTAGTAATAGTATAGTAGCAGCAGTAATAGTATAGTAGCAGCAGTAATAGTATAGCAGCAGCAGTAATAGTATAGTAGCAGCAGTAATAGTATAGTAGCAGCAGTAATAGTATAGCAGCAGCAGTAATAGTATAGTAGCAGCAGTAATAGTATAGTAGCAGCAGTAATAGTATAGTAGCAGCAGTAATAGTATAGCACAGCAGTAATAGTATAGCAGCAGCAGTAATAGTATAGCAGCAGCAGTAATAGTATAGCAGCAGCAGTAATAGTATAGTAGCAGCAGTAATAGTATAGTAGCAGCAGTAATAGTATAGCAGCAGCAGTAATAGTATAGCAGCAGCAGTAATAGTATAGCAGCAGCAGTAATAGTATAGCAGCAGCAGTAATAGTATAGTAGCAGCAGTAATAGTATAGTAGCAGCAGTAATAGTATAGCAGCAGCAGTAATAGTATAGTAGCAGCAGTAATAGTATAGCAGCAGCAGTAATAGTATAGTAGCAGCAGTAATAGTATAGTAGCAGCAGTAATAGTATAGCAGCAGCAGTAATAGTATAGTAGCAGCAGTAATAGTATAGTAGCATCAGTAGTATTATAGCTGCAGAATGTAATAGTATAGTTACAGTTGTAGTATATAGTAACATCAGTAGTAGTCAAAATGCAACAGCAGTAGTGCAGTACTACTATACTACTTTGTTAGTAGTATAGTAATAATATAATAGTAATAGTATTGTGTAGTAGTAATATAATAGTATAGTAAAGCAGTAATATAAAAGTATAGCAGTAATAGTATAGTGGTGGTAATATATTAGTAATAATGCAGCAGCAGTGGTAATACAGTAGTAGCAGTGATAATAAAGTAATAATAGAGTAGTAACAGTGGAAATATAGTAGTAATAGTATAGTAGCAGTGGTAATATAGTAACAGTGGTAGTATGTTCGCTGGTCTTGTCCCAGCCCGGGTCTTTTCCAGATGGTGACCCAGTACAGTGGACCCCCGCATAACGATCACCTCCGAATGCGACCAATTATGTAAGTGTATTTATGTAAGTGCGTTTGTGCGTGTATGTTTGGGGGTCTGAAATGGACTAATCTACTTCACAATATTCCTTATGGGAACAAATTCGGTCAGTACTGGCACCTGAACATACTTCTGGAGTGAAAAAATATCGTTAACCGGGGGTCCACTGTAATAGTATAACAGCATTAGTAA